CCTCAACCAACAACACCCGTCCATCCGCTTCACCATGGAAACTGAGAATAACAACAAGGCCGCCTTCCTCGACACCCTCGTAACAAGGGAACCAGACGGTAAACTGGTCACAAGTGTATACAGAAAACCCACCCACACCGACCAGTACCTCGCCTATGATTCGCATCACCCATAATCTGTTAAACGCGGTATTGTCAAGTGTTTACATGGCTGAGCTAAACGCATCATCACCAAGCCATCCGGAACAGCCCAGGAGATCCACAGTTCTCGTCGCCAACGGCTACCCTCCGTCCTTCTTACAGAAGGTGACCAAAACCAGGAATCTAACACCCGAAAGGGAAACAACAGAATTCAAGTCTACCGCAGTGCTGCCATACATCAAAGGAGTCTCAGAACCCCTCCGCCGCCACCTACAGCAACAAGGAATACGCACTGTCTTTAAATCTGACACCACACTAAGACCAAAAGACCCCGCTGACCCAAACAAGCAAGATTGCGTAGTCTACAAGATACCATGCACATGCCGCAAAGTCTACATCGGGGAAACAGGACGACCCATGCAAGAAAGAATGAAGGAGAACGACAGGAATATACGACTCGCACGCACTCAGAATTCCGCAGTTTCAGAACATGCTAACGGAACCGGACACAAGCCGGTGTGGAACAAAACCAGGCTCATTGCCCGAGAAAGCCACTGGTACACAAGGAAAGTGAAGGAGGCAATTCACATAAGACTCAATCCAAATAACATAAACAGGGACAGCGGAGCTGAAATACCCGGGAAGCATGGATGCCTACAAAAAGGAAACATCTAAACCAACGACGCACGAAAACCAGCCAACGCCTGAGGAAACCATGGTACATGGAAATAGCCGGATCGAAATGCACCAATCACAACAGACCACCATGATATATAATGCCGTGCCACAACGAGAAGAAGACTTGCTGTGAGCAGTCGAAACGTTGCGTTCCACATCAAGTGACCTTGTCGCGAGACAACAGAACAAACTTATAATATCATCCAAGTACCACGATGAACAACA